GCTGTTTTAGGCTTTCTATGAATTAACTCATCTAATCCTCATGGCATCACCATGAGGTAAGTACTATTGTTATTTCTAGTTTCACAGTTGAGAAAACCGAGGCATAGAAAAGTTAAATAACTTACTCAGGGTTGTGCATCTAATACGGAAGCTGGGATTTGAACCTTGGCAGTCTTAGGGCCCAAGTTATTTGTAGTTAGTTGCTGTCGAGTAGATTCTGACTCAGGATGACACCAAGTTATTTAGTAACCTAAATATTACTCTACCTCTCAACGGAATTTCCCCAAATGCTCTGTTGTCCACAGGACTTTTCAGAGCTTTAACACGCTGTCATGCATGGTGACTCTTAAAGAGAAATGCAGCTTTTCCCTTTGCGGGTGGGAGGTGAGGGAGGTTGCCTCGGAGCTTCTAGGAGAAACTACTTAGGTTCCAAAGAACAAAATAACATACTGATAACTTCTCTGGGTTTGGGCTCTAGCAAGCGCAGCTTCTGTGCGACTAGCCTGGTTGTCCTGAGTGAAAGGCAAATGCTAGGACAGAATGTGAGCAAAAGCTGACAGAAAATGGGTGAGCTTGTAATGCTCTCCAAGCAGAAGAAATGAGGTGGGGTCATCGGCAATATTTAAGCTGGATTTGACAAGTCCTTCAAAAGCAAGATCTGTCCAGCTCTTGGCAGTTGACAAAGTTCTTTCATGTAACATTTTCCTGGTTAATCCTCAAACAACCTTGGGGGTGGTAACAAGCATTGCCATTAGCCTCCCTAAACAGCTGAGGAAACAGGGACGCAGTGAGACTAGAGGGTGGCCAGGGCATGCAGGTAGTACATGGTGGGCCTCAAATTCAAATGGACATCCTTTCACTCCAAATCCAGATCTTTTGATTTCTCCGTGCAGGTTGCTTCCCTTTCGCCAGAGAAGAAATAATGTGTTTCTAGAGAGCACTACCAGAAACTGCCTTCTTAGTGACTCTTTCTTTGTCACTGAAACCCAAGGATGTTGTTATCATACTTGACCCGTGGGCTGCATGTACGGTTGAGCCCTTGAACTCCACCTTCATGCTTGAATACTTGGTTTTCTTTTCTTCCACACCATCATACTCTTCTGGTGTTTCTCATCCCTCTGTGGAATCGTCTTTGCTGGCTTCACCTCCACTACTGTGAGCTCTCAGAGCTCAGTCACAGGCTGTCTTCTCTTCTCAATGTGAACTTCATTACCATAAACCAATAATTGTGTTCCATCTTCAAGCTCCTTTCCATGACTATATCCATATAATCCAGCTGCAACCTTGACATCGCCACTTGGCTGTCTCATGTGCATCTTACATTTACTATGTTCCAAACTGATCTGTCCTTCTCCTCCCAAACCTGGTCCTCCACCAGGATGATTCAATGCAACATCAGGGAACCTTCTGTGACTACTACTTTTCCCTCATCTCTGACGTCTAATCAACTCCCACACACTGTATTTCCTACAGTCTAAATCTCTCTCAAGCGTGTGCACTCTCACCACAATCTACCCAAAGCACCACCCTCTCTGGCTTGGACTAACTCATTGCCACCATCCGCTCTTGCTTCTTTCCAATCACCTTCCTTGCAGCAGCCACAGTTTCTTTTTTAAAAATGCAGATCTGGTCGTATTTTCTTGGTAGAAATGCGTCAATGGTTTCCCACTGTTTTTAAAATAAAATTTAAGTCTTTAACTTGGTGTACAGAGCCATGCATGATTGTGCTCTGGCTCATCTGCCTAGCATCCCTGTGTGCCACCCTCCCCTTTTTAGATAGTCCTTGACCAACTGGCTTCCATGTCAGACCGGGTCCATGGCCCTGTTGTATACCCTCCTAGCATGTCTGTCTTCTCCATCATAACAGTCATCACAATGATAATAACGGTTATTTGGGTGACTATTTGCTTAGTGCCTGTCTCCCTCACAAATTCTAGTCTTCTTGAGGACAGACTGTATTCCCAATGCTAGCACAGGGCCCACACAAAAGAGGTATCCACTAAATATTTGTCTAATGACTGCCTAAATATTTGTCTAATGAATAGGAAAAAGGCTTTAATCTACTTTACACTTTCAACAACAGCAATGATAATAATAACAATTGAGCCCAATGTTCTTTTTATTGTTACTCACAATGAAAAGTTAGAGGTTTATAGACCAATGTTCACTGCAGCACTATTCACAACAGCCAAAAGTAGAAATAGCCAAAATGTCCATCAACAGATGAATGGATAAACAAAATGTGGTACATATATACAACGGAATATTACTCAGCCATTAAGAGAAATGAAGTCCTGATACGTGCTATGACATAGATGAACCTTGAAAACATTATGCCGGGTAAGGCAAGTCAGTCACAAAAGGACAAATATTGTATGATCCCACTTACATGAAAGAGGCAAACATATGGAGAACAAAGTTTATTAGTGGTTACCAGGGCTGCAAGGGTGGGAGGGAGGAGGAAATGGAGAGTCACTGCTTAGGGGCACTGAGTTTCTGTTAATGGTGGCAGAGAATTTGGAAACAGACAGTGGTAATGTTTGGACAACATGACGAATGTAATGGATGTCATTGAGATGTACATGTAAAAATTGTTGAACTAGCAAATGGTTTGTTATATATATTTTTAACACATACACTCACACAAAAAGGCCGAGAAACATACACACAACACACACGGAAATGAGAGGCTTACAAGGAATTTACATTTGTAGACTTCCGGGGTCTCATTTTGTGCATTAGTGCCCCACTGGTATTGGTAATGAGATACAGATGGTATTTCTTTAAAAAAAAAATTTGTTTTTTCAGGTGATGGAATCGCAGCAGTATAAGAACATTTTTTAGTTAGAACTGGTTGTTTTTATAACCAGACAGTGTCATGATGTCTTGAAGAGCCCTAAGCGAGACGTTGGTGGCTTGACAAACTTAACATAATTCTCTATAGAGCAAAACTTGTCTGAGAATTTCAATCTGTGCCCAGGGGAGTAGCCAGAGGTTGCAGACACCTCCCAATCCTACAATTTGTACTTCACTTTTGAGAGCTACCTAATTAGCACCCAAGCCTCACACTGCCCTGCCTCTGCCTGTCCTTTGAAAGTTTCTGCCCCAAAGAGTTGTAGTGCCTCTGTCTCTACCCTGTGCTTCTCAGACAGAAGACAGCAGGTGATCCAAATTTCCCACATGCTAAGCATTCTTCACACTGACAATAGTACAGGCTCTTCTACTTAGACTGAAAAGTGCTTTGCTTGCCTGCTGCTGTTCGCAGACACCTAAAAGGACAAATTTTGAGAACCAGGTTCAAGGCTTTCATTTCACATCGACACTGACTATCTCGGAGCCTGCATGGACACTGGGATCAGGAAGCCCTGGTGTGAATCTTGGCTTTGCACTTACTAGCCCTCTGACATGAGACCAACTACTTCACCTGGAACCTCAGTTTTTTCTTCTGTTAAGTGGGAATTATATGAAGGATGCATAAGAGACAGTGAACATACGTAAAGAGATAATGATGGTAGATGAAACACTAGATATAAGCTAAGCACCCACCAGGTGCTTGGCATATAGAGACACTCAATAATTGAAACTGTTGGGTATTACTGTTGCTGGTCTGCATAATAATATTCCAGGGATGTAATGAGGGTGACGGGATTTATTGCAAACTAGAACTGAGGCCCTCACTGATTTAAACCCAGGAGACAGGAGCTCGATGTACCATTTAAAAAGCAATCTGCTCCTCGTGTCTGCAATTCACCACGCTCTAACTCTGCAATGACCACCTGACGAAACAAGTGAATCACTGCAAGCCGTTAATGAGGAGCAAGATGGTGTCTGGGAGAATCACTGTGCCGTTAGTGATCCTTTCATCTGCCTTCCAACTTCCCCAAGAGCTATGCTCTCTCAGTTTCCTAATTGTCTAGAGACTTTGATTTCTCTGGCTGAAATAGGAGGCCTTGTGGATCTGGGCAAAGTTCTGGGAAGGAGGCTTTAATAAATGTCTGAAGACCACAAGAGCCAGGGCCTCACCCAGGACCAGTCATAGAGGGAAGTGTGGCTGCTGGTATGGTCTCCCAAAGAGATTACAGCAATGTCCTCGGGCGAAGGCAGGTCTTGCCTACAGACTAGAGGACAGACAGGTCCTGGGTGTGTGCGGATGGACTTGTGAAAGGCTTTTACCAGTGTTCAGAGGAGTAGCAACAGAGTATCAAGAGGCAAAACCTGCTTTCCATACTTGGTATTTCACTTATATGCCTATTCACTGTGGTCTAGTTAACACCTGTACTTCACCTCTCATTCACTGACACATTCATTGGTATATTAATTCATTCACTCCAAGAATACTTATTTGCTGCTAACTGAAAGGCTGGCGTTTGAATCCACCATCTGCTGCATGGGAGAAAAACCTGGCGATCTGCTCCTGTAAAGATTATAGCCTAGAAAATCCTACGGGGCAGTTTTACTCTGTCACACGGGGTCACTATGAGTTGAAAATTGACTCAATGGCACCTAACAACAACAACAACATGTGCTAGGCACTGTTCTAGGCCCTGGAAACACATTAGTGAATAAAAGGGAGAAAATCCTTGTCCTCGTGGAGTTTACATTCTAGTGGGGGAAGGGACAGACATATGAAAGTACATACAGAGTATGCTGGAAGGTGATAAGAACTATGCAAACATAATAAACCAGGGAAGGGGAAGGGGGCATGGTAGAGTATGGGGGTGTGATTTTGAGAAAGGTGGTCAGAGTACAAAGGTGATATCTGAACGAGACTTGAAGGGGCTGAGGCCTTCACCCGCTTCTCTGTCGTGACCACACCACCGTACACGCCAGGGAAGCCCTTGTCAGGTAAGGGCACTCAGGCCTCATGCTCCTTTGCATCACGGTGTGCGTGCTCCAGGCAGGCTGTGGGCCCTACCTCAGGGTGGGATCTGGGCTGACAGTGATGCCTGGGCGACAAAGCCAAGAGTGGCAGGGTGCAGAGGTGCCCGGCGGCCCCTTACCTCCTCCAGCCGCCGCCGCTGCTCCTTCTGTTCCTCGATGCGCTTCTGACGCTCAGCCAGCAGCTGTCGCTTGTGCTCCTCGTTCTCCCGCTGCTGCTGCTCCAGCTGCTGGCGCCGCAGGGCCTCTGAGCGCTCCTTGTTGGCCAGCTGGAGCCTCAGGAAGTCCCTGCGCAGCGTTGACTCCCCTGGCAGGTTCAGAATGGAGCTGTGGGTAGGAGAGAGAGAGGTCAGGATCCACATGGGGCAAGGCGCCATCACTACCACGAGTCTGCAGATCACTCACCCACATGTGGGGAAGAAGCCACGTGCTCATGCACAGGCGCCAGATCCTCCATTAATGAAATCATTCACCTCTGGAAGACACAGTTGAGGCAGGAGCCTGGTATTCAGTCTCCCTTTCAGTATGGCCATTTGCATACATACACACTGCTGTCCATCCCTAGAGGATGTCACATTCCGGGGGTCCTCACTCCTCTCCAGGACTGTCCATACCCCTCCCTCACCCTTGCAACATGGCAAAGATTTCTTTCCAAAGGCTTTAGTGAGTGTGCAAGACCTGAGCCTCAGAGTGGCTCATTTTCACATCGAAGAAAGGCAACAACAAAGCCATCAAGTAAAAATTGGCAATGGAGAGCAGAAAGAAACAGCTTTACTCAGATTAGTACACAGCTTTCCAGTTTAAAGACCATTTCACCCATGCTACTCCCTGACTCCTCACTCCAAACCCCATGAGGCAAAAATTATGCTGCTCATGTGAAGACACGACCAGCTAGAGAGGGAAAATGACCACACCCATGCTGGCTAAGTCCAAGGGTTCAGGGCTTGTCCACTGCATCATAGTCAAAGGAAAGTGAAATGGTTTAGTTTCGGCCACGGAGGGAGCAGCTGGGACTTCCACCCAGCTCACTGATTCTTAAGTAGCATGCACTTCAGTTTTCTCATCTATAAAATGTTGGCTGTGCCTGTGTGTATGCAAGAGAGAGGACGCGGGGACAGAGAACACCAAAAACACTGGTGCTACACTGGCGAACAAGGGCTGCGGTGTTTGCATGTAACAGCACGTGAGCAACCTGAAGTTACAAACTCCTTTGTTCAGCATAGCAGCCTGACAGGGAGGAAACTTCATGGAAAATGGTTTGTATCTGTTCACTCTAACATAGCCTTTTTATTCTTTCTGGCGGCTTCCATTTGAAATAAATCCATTAAACAATAACTACCAGGCACCTACTATGTGGCAGGCACTGTAATAGGCCCTAGGGATATAGTAGTGACCAGATATACAAATTCTCTCCCAAGAGCTTATCTTCTTGTGAGGACGGCAGGAAGTTAGATAAATAATTAAACAGACAAATAATTATAAATGACATAATTTCAGGTATTAGTAGGCTCTACAGAAAACCAAGGAGAGTAATAGTTTACGAGTGACTAGTGGCAGGGGCCAGGGTGAGGATTAAGGGATCTACTTTAGACTAGGTGGTCAGGAAAGACCTCTCTGAGAAGGTGACAACTGAACAGAGACTCAAATGATGAAGAGTCAGCAGCATGAAGATGGAGGGGGAGAAGGAAAGCAAGTGGGAGCAGGTGTGACCTCTCTGAGGAACTGAACATCAGCTCATCTTGCTGGAGCGCAGTGAATAAGAGAAAAAGTGGTACAAGAGGAGGTCAGAAAGACAGGACAGACTGGGTAAAGCTGTGGGCCGTGGAAGTCATGGAAAGGTTTTAAGCAGGAGAGTAACATGAGTGGACTTGGTTGGTTGCTGAATGGACAAAAGACTGCAGGGGGTATGAGGGCCAGCAGGGCTGCCAGCTGGGGCACTGCTTCAGCTGCTCTGGGGAGAGGCGGTGGAGGCTTTAGCCAGGATGCACGTAGTGGGGATGGAGACTGGGAGAAGGTCTTGGAGGCGGAGTTGATAGAAGCTGTTGATGGACCTGTTGTGGGGAGTGAGGGATGACTTGCAGGGTTCATCTTGAGCAGTTGGGCGATAGTGGTGGTGAGAATGAGCGTGGGGAATGCTGGGCGACAGCAGGTTTGGTGGCAGTTAGTGAGGGATCAAGGTTCTGTTCTGGAGAGTGGTTACGGTGCTCTGTGAGATGCTGCCAAAAAATGATTCAAGGCCTCGTTCATGACGGTCCATAGACAAAACTTGGCTTCTACCAACAATACCATCATTCCAACTCATGGCAACCTCACGTGCGGTCAGAATATCAGAGTAGAACTGCTCCATAGAGCTTTCAACAGCTCATTGTCTGGAAGTAGATCATGAGGCTTTTCTTCTGAGGGGCCTCTGAATGGACTAGAACCTAGAACTATCTAGTTAGTAGCCAAACATGTTAACGGTTTGCACCACCCAAGGACTCCTTCTACTAACAAGCCTCCTCTAAACCTTATGGCCCTTCTGTAAAACTCTGAAAACAAAAAACAAAAAAATGGTGCCTACCTATTACCCGGATAATACAGGCCACATGCTCTGGGCAAAGGTGATGGGCTTTGTGAACCCAGCCTCACATACACATGAGGACATGCCAATAAAATTAATTGTGCTGAATCAATGTCAGGAGCTCTGAGCTGCATTTCTGGTTCAATCATTAACTCAGCGTGTGACCTTGTCACTCTCAAGCTGTTACCTCATTTCTAAAATGAGGTAATCACTGTCCTTTTCTACTTTTCAGGAATTCATGAAGATTAATTAGATGCATCCATAAAAACAGGACTAGGAATATAATCCTCAATGTGCTACAATGACATGTTACATTATATAAGTGTTCAGGTATGAGTAGGGTGGCTAGGTTGGCCCACGAGGTGACTCCTAACATGTAGCTTAGAAAGTGTTACAAAAGATGGAGTTCTTGGTTCTACAGAGAGGGATGAGGAGGGCTGACCCAACTGTCTGGAAAATAGTGCACACACAGTGCGATGGCTCCTTTGAAAGGAGGGCATTTGGTTCTTGGCCTTTCAGGAATGTTCACTTTCCGTGTCATTACTTGACAGTCATCATCTTTATAATGGTAAACTTGGGATGGCCAACATATTAAGTATCAGATGGAAGGAAAGAACTGTCCTTTGGTCTTTGACCTTGGGAAATCCCAAAGCAGGTGAAGATAGGAAAACTGTATGGCTGTGTAAGATAATTCTGGTCGCTTAGCAAGAATCTAGCTCAATGGGTCTGAGTTAGCTACAACAAGGCCTCTAGTTCATTCCAGTGGCAATAGAATTACACTTGTGTAGCTAAGTTGGCCCCTTCCTTCGTCAGGAAGCTCTGCCTCAATGATATGGGAACTGGGTCCCTCTCCTGGAGCACTAGGGTGCCACTGCTTAGATGGCTAGAGGATGGGGACCCATATACCCTAGTGACCCTTCTGTTTGTGAGTTTACCCCAATGAATCTTACTTTCCATTTACAGTGGATGGTGTTATGGTGTGTGCTGCACCCCTGGACTCACCGAGCCAAGAACACTGCTTCTGCCAGCTGAATTCTCACGAAAGAGAAGTCCTGGCAGAGTGAGCACACCAGCCTTAATTATTTATAAATACAGACCAGAAGAAAGTCAGAATCAAAGTCAAGTGAAATGCAAAACACAGGGATGGTAACAATAAGGCGGTACCTGATTCTGGGGTCCAACATGTGACAACAGGAATGGCATGAGTTTCTATTTAGAGTTCACCTCTAAAGTGTAATTTGATTTCCTGGAAATCATTTCCTCTTGGATCAGACGGCGGTGAAAATACCAAGGCATGTGACAAGGACAGTGGCTGCCTGAACAGGCTTCTCAAAGGTATCAAGTAATGAACTGAATAACTCAAGTCCTAAAACACCACCTGGGTCTCCAAAAAGTGGCAATTTTAAGTACTTTTCATCCTGTATTACCCAGATAGCTGCCTCCTATCCATTCCACATGTTACATATGTGAAGAAACAAGGCCTAAGAATATAAACCATAAATCTTGGGGAATAAGATAAAGAATATGCTGACTTCCATATTTTTGTAAGAGTCTACCCAAGAAAAATTTCCCAAATTAATAAGTATGTTCATGGGTAATAAATTGAATAAGACCACCCTGGTGGATTCTTAAAGGTGAACCTATAAATCAAAACGAAGGTAGCAGTGAATTTCACACAAACACCAATTCAAAATGTGAGAATTAGAAGGCGTGGCTCTGGCTCTCCTACCTGGGCTCTCCTGAGTCATTCTCCTCCTCCTCTTCCTCACTTCCACTGTACTCGTACTCTGTCTCATCTAAAGAGAGACTCACAGAATGTTAGCATACGAAAAGATGCTGCAGATCAGTAAAGCACAACCCCTTCATTTTATATAGAAGTAAATGAGGCCCAAAGAGTTAATGCTGAGCTGAAACGAGGCTCCATACCTCCCGACTTGTGGCCCAACTGCAGAGAAAGATGTCATTCCCACCACTTGGATTCAAGTACTTGGAATTAACCACATGCAAGACTGTCCCACTGAAGTCTGGATATCTGTCCCTAATGCCTAACTTCCACACAAAAGACAAGGGAATGAAAAATAACCTTTCAGTTTGTGCTAACTCCCATTACCGGGCCACCCAAATCAATCTTTTATTGACTCACTACACTGTTAACTTATTGTCCATATTAATCACTTTTTAAGTAGGAGTTTCATTACAACTTACATGGATTCACAAACTGCCATTAGCACAACACATTGTGCTAAATATTGTGCCATAATATGTGCTATTAAAATATATACAGGTAAAAACGGTCTTGCTTGACCCACTGGGGACATTCATTCCATTCAGTGAAATATTAAGTGAATTAAGACACAAGAATGAATAAGACTGAATCTTTGCTTTGGAGATCAGAACCTAATAGATAAGTAAATACTCAGAGTCCCCCACGATCACAGAGAAAGGGAACTAATATGTATTGGGTGTCTCCCATGCCTGCCACCATGCTAGATACTTCACCTATGTTCCCTCATTTATTTCTTAGAACAATCCTCTAAGATAATGCACTTTTTTCAAGTGAGGATACTAAGATTACCAGAGGTTAAGTGATATGACTGATGTCATTTCATTAATCAAAGGTCAATCTGGGATATGGATTTAGAATTGAATCCAAAACTTTTCAGACTTTAAAACCAGTGTTCTTACAACATAAAAATAGCAATCAAATATCAGAGAAAGTAGCAGCTAATTCCACCAGTCATACTGGGGAAGGGGGACAGTGAGGGTCTTTGGAGAGGAAATCAGCTGGGCCTGGGAGGGTCAGTAGCCCTACTCCAGGTAGACGACAGCTGAAAGAGGTGGAAGAAGGGCATTCCAAGCCATGTACCCACATGAGAAAGGCTGGTAGTATTATCGTGCATGACATATTCAGAAAACAATCAGTCACGAGGGGCTAGCAGTCTGGGTGTGAGAAAGGAGGAAAAACATATGGGGTAAGAAAGGCTCCAGCAGGTATAATTGGGCTTGCTAAGCCACATATACACCATACTGAGAACTTTTCTGTAGGCAATGAGGAGCCCTTGGGAGAACTTTTAGCAATGAAAGTATCGCATTAGTATTATGCCTTCATAGCTGTGGATCAGTGATTACAACTTTGAAGACATTTGTGCATTCCTAAAAAGGAACTGAAACTGCAATTTGGTTATGTTACCATCAGGAGGCAGAAGACAAACTCAGACCTATTCAATTTGAGCAAAAACTTAAATAAACATATTTTGCCATCCATACTAATTAGCCACTATAAGGATAATAAAAGCAAGCCAAAACTCGATGAGTTAAAGTACTTTTTAAAATCACAAATTAGCTTTGGCTATTTAGATCTGTCTGAAACTTTTGGGCTACTTATTTTTAAAGTATTATTTCATCAAAATGTAAAGAATCTGAAAAAGTATTTTAATATTCCACTCTGAAAGTTTAATGTTCCAAACTTTCCTGAAATAGATAAACAAGGAGTTCAAAGTAAAACACAGAAATTTTATGTAATAAAGGAAATTATAGCAAGGAAAGAAGCATACAATTAATCCAATTACTTCTACTCTCCAGGGTAAAAGCTTCATTTGTTAGGCTCCTCAATTTTAATACCTCACCAGAATTTGGTTTTATTGCTTTTATATTACTGGGCTAAATTAGCATGAGTCAATACATCTTAAGGAAAAGGTAACATCAGGTTAAGGAGAAAAAAAGCAAAAACAAAAATATAAAGCAATGCAAAATAAAATTAATTGATTCTACCAAATGTTGGTCGTTGAGATAGCTACTAAGAGAGTGAAAAAGTATTAACGGGAGCACACTAAGTCATTTTGACCAAAATGAGACCGCATTTGATCAAATACCCTTCCTTGGGGAGCAGACAAAAATCAGACTAGACCTCTGCTTCCAGCAGCCCTAAGCCTGAACAGGACTGAGTTCCTTAAACTATCCTGTAACTCTTGAATATGCCATGGTGGCGCAATGGTTAAGCACTTGGTTGCTAACAGAAAGGTCGTGGGTTCTAACCTATCCAGTGGTTTCATCGGAGAAAAGACCTAGCAATCTTCTCTCATAGAGATTTCAGCCTAAGAAACCCTATGAAGCAGTTCTACTCTGTCCCATAGGGTCGCTACGAATCAGAATTGACTTGATGGCACACGACAACAACAATCAAGAATCTTACCCTTCTACGCTGCAGAGACTGAACACATTAAGTCTATCTTCATGGCATGGTGATTTCTGAACCACATTTCAGAGTTTGTGCCCCAAAATATGAAAACCTGAGGCACAAGCTTTACCTGTTCTTATAGGTTGGAGGGACACAAGTGCATGAGTTCTCACTACTCCAGTATGACCTACCCTTGAGTAGTACTGAAAATTACATTTCAATAAAGAATTACTTAACTAATTGTTTTGTTGTTAGTTGCTGCCAAGGTGGCTCCAACTCATGGAGACCTTATGTAATAACAGAATGAAACACTGCCCAGTCCTGCTCCATCTTCAGGATTGTTGGTATGTTTGAGTCCATCATTGCAGCTATTGTGTCAGTCCATCTCACTGATGGTTTCCCTCATTTTTGTTGGCCTTCTACTTTACCAATCAAATAAGAGCTAATATTTACTAAGTGCTTCTATGGGCTAGACATTGTGTTAAGCATTTTACATGCATTATGTCTTTTAATCTTTGTAACAATCCCAGGAAATAGATAATATTATTATAACCCACCCCTATTTTAAACATGAGAAGTTGGGGTGAAGTTCATGCAACTGACAAGTGGCAGAGCTAGAATTTGGACACAGGTAGTCTGAAAACAGAATTTGAGCACTTAACCCCTACTCGAGACACCCATATTGCATTAAATTTCCTTTTAAAAGGAGTCTTCATTTAAGAGACATGCAATGGTTGCATGTCTGAGAAACTGTTCTAAAATATTTCCTTTAAAATTTTGATCTTGTGGAGTGGCCCGAGACCATCATTAGTTAATGGCAGTTGAAAAATCAGTCTTGGAATTTTTGACCTTGACTTACCTATTTCTCCTCATGCCTAGTTCTGAATGACACCTCATCCCTCTCCACAGACTCGGGAGATGGATCTCCTTTTGGCTAAGCCTCATAACATCCCTCTTCTGAGTCTAACCTCATCACACACTTTCCTCATAGTCTCCTAGTTGGATTCAGAAGGAACTCTAACCTTGAATCTTCACCGAGTATGTCTCCTCTGACCTATCCCTCTGCTGATCCTACCTCACCCACCCTTGATTTTCACATGCTCACGGCCCCTCCCTTAGAGCCCAGCTTACAGCTTGCCACGTTCTGGATATTAACTGCAGAGGCAAAGAAAGGAAATACTAATAAAAGGAGAGCAAGCCTTATCTTGCTGCTGCCCACTGCCCTCCACTGCTCCCTTTGGACCATGCAGAAAATGGGAAGAGGTGGAGAGGACAGAAGCGACTAAAGCACCTCACCATATATCTCCCATCCTCAGTACCTGATCTGTCCCTCTACTCCCCACTCACCACACTCTCATGCCCACCTTTCCAGCTCCATTTTGCCTCCTCATTGCCACCCCCACCCCCACCAGCTGCCCCTCCTGTTGTCCATCTGACAGCCCTCACCTTCTTTGTCTTCTCCAATTCTCCCTTCCCATACCTCAGCCTTCCCTACCCAGCCCTCAACTAGCCATAAGCCTGCAATAGACAATGTGAGTTATGCCTTAGTCTGGACACAGGATGCTAGTTAAGGGATTGTAAGCCTCCGTCCAAACAACTAGGGTACAATTCCAGGGGCTAAGTTTGCACTCATGTCCTTCCCAATGATGTAGTGAAAAAAAATGGTATGTTTAACAGCTAGAGCCATAGAGATAAGAGTTTCTGTCTCTATAAAATAAAGACTCACATTTAATGACCTTCCAGCTCAAAATTCAGTGTTCCATACAGCAAGCCTGGCAATCTAATCTTTTATAATACTGCAACTATAAGAAAATTCATTCCAACTTCTAAATAATTGAATTAAAATTAGCCTCAGAGCACAAAAACTTAAATGTTGAAGTCCGACAGCACAGAAAAATGTCAACTACATGACTTTTTTTTAGGTTGTCTGTCTTCTGTAGGTTTTTAGTCTTCTAAATATGAATATTCATTTGAATTAAGAGAATCACTTGTCATATTGAAGTACTTCATAGTATCACTCAACATGACTTTGCTCAGTGCCTGGGAGAGGCAACATTTCTCGCAGTTCCATTCTTTCATGAAAGGCTCCATTACAGCCTTCTCACTCCATTGATGCACACAGGCTGTGATCTTGGAGGCAGTCCCCCACGCTAAAGAATAATGCAGGCCTGTTTGAGATCACCACAGTCACCTTCAATACATAAAGAGCCCGTGACTCACTCCGTCTTTTATGTCCCTTACTGAAATACAAATGTGCTTCTAACCTTTCTCTCCTCGCTTCTTCTTTGTTCTATCGATATGGTCCTTGAGTTGAATGCGGACCTGTCGCTCATTAGGTTGGTCTCGTATAAATGGATGCTTCATCAATTGTTCTGTTGCTGGTCGCTGGCTGTGATTCTTTACCAAACAGCTCTCAATAAAAGACTGAAATTTTTTTGACCTGCCAAATAAAGAGATGAATTCACAGATAAAATGACAATCCAAGGAAAAGCAAATTTATATTTTTTGGTATGTTGGAATTAAAACAAAAAAATTTGGTCCAATAAGCCAATATGAGTCCCTGGATGGCACAAATGGTTAAGCATTTGACTACTAGATGACAGGCTGGAGGATCGAGCCTACCCAGAGGCATCTCAGAAGACAGGTCTGGCGATTTGTTTATGAAAGGTCACAGACTTAAAAACGTTATGGAGCAGTCCTAGTGTGCACACATGGGGTAGCCATGAGTCAGAACTGACTCGACAGCAACAACCAACAACAACATCAAGCCAATATAAGAATCAACTAATCCCAAAATAGGTCTAGTATTACTGTAGACACGGCACAGTTCAAAGGCATCATCACCATCAACACACAACTATCCAAATGAAAGCATTTTTTCTCATAGTTTACACTGGGCATCCTATCTGGAAGGTTTATAGGAACGAAGAACCAGAGCTGGGCCTTAAAGTATTACGAGAAAATCACCATGGGAAAGAACATTTCAGGCAGAGAATCAGTGAAAAACTAAAGCTGGGAGTGCGGCTCTCATATATCAGGGGTCACTGAGGTGAGTTACCTAAATGAGGCAGAAAATGCAAGCTGGGCCACAGTAAAACCAAAGTTGGATAGGTAAGGGGGTGGTAATGCATTCTGTAGAAATGAGAAAGATTCTTGTATGGTAAAATGAACTTTGCTTAGGTCAATTTTTTATCAGTAATATCAGAATCACTTTCAAACTGTGCTTTCCAGCTAATGAGAACAGATGGTATATGTATACTTGTCATCAACCCAAGGACTTGGAAACTTAATTTCAAGGGACTAAGGTCATGCCCAGAAGCAAATTTATTTCCCTCGAAAAAGGCACTATTTCCTCGCAGATAAACCCTGTGTCAGAGCGGCACAGGGCAGTGGGAAGGTGGTGAGAGATACCATACTAATGATGAACACAACATGGTAACAATGTGGTAGAAATTAATGGTGGACTTTAGCCATGATTCATGAGTTGGGCATGCATGTTTGTAATGAATGTTCCAAAAAATTGTGCATCATGATAAATAATTAAGCTCCTGACTCTATAACAAGAATTTCCCAGGTACTCCATCACCCCCAGAGACCTTTGCAGAATCCTGGTCACCCTCTTCGACCTCTGAGCTTAGCTCAGAGCAGGAGGGATCAGCCTTGTGCTCCCATCGCCCTCCTGTGGAGCACTGGTGTTATAGGATCAGATCCAGGGAATAAGCCTTACCCAAGCTTCCCAGCAGACCCTATAGACACTTCAGGCCTGAGAGGTGTCCTCACCACAAAAAACACAATGGTGAGCATGTTCAAGGTTCAGATGTTAGAGGGCACTCTTATGTGACCATTCTCCATTTCCACCTAGCTCAAAGATATTCTAACCTCATCCATGTTTTTTTAAAGTAATGAATTACCGGCATTTTTTCCTCCCTAAATTTCTAAGCTATCTTCATGCTTTTAAAAATATTTTACATAGAAGTAAAATTTTACATACTAAAATTCACAAAAGTAAATTTAATTTTTTTAATTTAAAATTTAATTAAAATTAAATTTTACACAAGTAAAATTTTATTTTACATAGAATTTAAAAAACAAAAACAAAAACAAAACACCTGCTCTGCTTGGGGTTACCCCAGGATGAATCAGGAATGGCCACACTGTGGACGAGAAATAGTAACAACAGGACGGCCATTGTAGGCACCTCCCTGTTAAGTCCTTCAGTCTATCTCCTACTTCTTCCACACTGGAAATTTCAGAGGTGTCTAGACGTGCCTTAGTCATCTTTGTCTTGTGAGTATATTACCTGTCCTTACCTATTTGGTGAATGAATAAATGGCTAATGGATAAAAGTTCTGGGCAAGAGCTTTATTACAGCTACCTTCATATCTGTTGTTGTGAGGTTTGGAGAGTAAATAGTATTTAATATGTCTCCTTTCTCAAATAAATCGAATAAATCCTTAGAAGCACAAATATGATATCAGCTAAGGTAAGATCTTGTAAGATAAATGTAATGAAATAATGAAGTCTCCTAAGGTATGACCTGAAAAAATGAGGTTAACCAGCATAAAGGAATAGATAAACTCCACACATTGTTTTTGTAGGTATGAACATCAGCATTAAAAAGACAAAACAAAAACAGATTAAGACCAGAAAGTTATTAAATATCCACAAAGCATGCAAATGGCAGTTCTCTTTTTCTTACTTGCAACTAGAAGGAAGTGTGTGTGTGTTTATTTTTTAATAAAGTGCTTAACTATTATTAATTAGAGGAAGACAAATAAATCACATCCAATTTAAAAATGAGATCCAAACTTAACAGACTGTAAATTCCATTCCTTGACACTAACACTTAAAAAGTCAGAGAACTCTCCAGAGCAAGGTAGAGATAAATTCCCTTTTCAGTATCCCTCCTGGTAGGAGCGAACCTCAAGAGATAATCAAGAAAATAACTCTGGCCCAGAGGCTGAGCCAAGATGTGCAGAACTACAAAGGTGGTTATATATTCTATGTCTTCTTCAAATGGTGCAGTTTGAAGGGAAAATAATGCTTACTTAAAACAAGTCTTCAGAGAAGGATTCATGTCTCTTATCTCAGTTAGTGTGACCAAAGAATCAATATGCTTAAACACACATTTAATTAAATGTCAAAACACTTCACATATGTTGAATACTACCTGACTGTTTGCTGAGCAGTTTAACGGGTTTAAAGTACATTTATATAATTTTATTGTTTGAATCTCTGCTGCTGGTAATTTAGTTCTGTCTCTTTAAAAAAAAAAAAAAAAGCCTAAGAATAGTAATACTAATTTCCCAAGGGATGGTATGGAGAGAGAAATGTTAATAATTGATGCTTAGAGTCTAAGGCACTAGTTCTTCTACTACGAGCCTCATTAAATGCTTTATCTTCCCAGATTTACCTTGTTTATATATTAAATAGTTTTAGAGGAATTAAAAATGCCTACAAGATTATTACATTAATCATTATAACCAACTGGACTAAAAGTGTTTTGTAATCATGTTGTTGTTGTGGGTGTCCAGCTGATTCTGACTCATAGTGACCCTATATGACAGGGTAGAACTGCCCCAATAGGGTTTCCTAGGCTGTAATCTTTATGGAAGGAGCACTGGTGGTGCAGTGGTTAAAGTGCTCCGCTGCTAACCAAAAGGTCAGCGGTTTGAACCCACCAGCCACTCCGCAGAAGAAAGATGTGGTAGTCTGCTTCCAAAAATATTACAGTCTTTGAAACCCTATGGGGCCGTTCTACTCTGTCCTATAGGGTCATTATGAGTCAGAGTTGACTCGATGGCAATGGATTTCATCTTTATGGGAGCAGACTGCCAGGTCTTTTCTCCTTCAGAGCTGCTGGTGGGTTTGAACCGACGACCTTTTGCCATTGTGCAACTAGGGCTCCTTTTGGTAATCATGGACTCCCTAACTGCAAGTTGACCTTTAAAATTTGCATTGGCCCTGCCCCACTACCCAGGCTATCCTCCTTCTCTATTCCAGGCTCCGTCACTTACTGTGTGACTTTGGGCAAATTGCTTAACTTCTCTGTGCCTGTTTCCTGTAAATGGGGATATTACTAGTACTTTTTAAAAAAGATTGTTATGACGATTAAATGAGTTAATTTATGTAAAGCACTTAGTACTGGTACATCACAAATGGTATTTACATGTTTGCTGTTATTATTATTATTATTACTATTACTATGATGACAAAGTCCCAGCAACCTCTGACCATTAGCAGGCTTAAAGCATGCAGCTTTAGGGCTGAAGAGCAGAAATTTGAGGTTGTTTTCCCCACTTCTGTTTAACTGAGTAAGTATAGCATTCTCTAAGAGAACTAGTTCACGTACATTGGGGCTAGAAAGGATACTAGGAAGAGTTAGCAGGGCTGTTATCTCCAAGGAGACTGAAAAAAAAGGTTCATTAAAAAAAAGGATGTGTAGCAGTTTTTGTTTTGATTTCAATAAAGCTCAAAGTTACACTACTACTAGCAAATTAAGTCGAGTTTAAGTATTTTCTGACACTTGCATTGTATTATATTATTAAGAACAAAAAAAAGAGCTTTGTCATTTCTTGAAACAAAAGTGCCTCAGACATACAGAAAAATGAAGTCCTGACGCATGTTACAACATGGATGAACCCTGAAAGCATGATGCTGAGTGAAATTAGTCACAAAAGGACAAATATTATATAATGTTACTTACACGAAATAAGCAAATATATAGAAACCAAAGATTATTAGTGGTTACCAGGGGTGGGAGGGAGGGAAGAATGGGGAGTTTTTGTTTAGGGGGCATTGAGTTTATGTTAATGGTGGAATAATTTGGAAAAGGACCGCAATAATGGCTGCACAACATGAATAATGTAATAAATGTCACTGAATTGTACATGCAGAAATTCTTGAATTGGGGAAAAAAAGTAATAATAAAAAAAAATAAGTGCTTGACAACCCAGTGAGAATCAGAACGGGTGCTTCATAAAATAACATAAAACAACAGGGCGATTATAAGCCTTAGAGTAGAAGCAGGATGCCAGCATTCCAGGCTGGCTCCACCAGTGATGAGCTGTGGCTCTAGATAAGCCGCTTCATCTTACCAGGCCTCATAGTCTTCATCTGGAACTCAAGTGGTTGGGACCAGGGATATTATATCTCTTTCTAGTTACAAGTAGTTATAATTTTTCTAATGATTTCATTTGAGCGCTGCCTTGCCTGTGTAGACACTTCAAATTTAGAGAGCACGTGAAAAGAACACAATTGACTCTCTTCTGGCAGAAATGAGATCAGCCCCATCCTTCTCCAGAAACTAGGATGGAAGCCACAGCACTATGAGGCAGGTGAGCATGTTGGGAACAGGAGGGAATCTTTTGAAAGTGATGGCTAACCCACTGAGTTTAATCCAACCTCACAAGAGGAGGAAATGGGAGTCTCAGCCCTACTGTTCATTTGCTGGTGGTGACATGGAGACAGGGTGAGAATGGAAGTTACTGAGCTCCTTGGTTTCCTCTGATTAATCTGAGGTTAATATCCTCCCAGAGACCTCATTATTACTAACTTTTATTTTTGGTGGAAATATAAATAACAAAACATACACTCATGCAATATTTTCTACAAGTAGAGTTCAATGACATTGGTTACATTCTTCACATTGTGTCTCCATTCTTGCTCTCTCCCAGTGTTGTTTCACCACCGTTGACTTAGATTCTCTGTCCCCTAAGCTTCTCCACTCTGTTTTAGAGCTACTGGTGTCAATTTGATCTCATATATGTAATTCGTAAAAGAGCGCACTACTCAAGGCTAACATTCTTTATTAGTCGAACTAACTGCTGTTTAGTTTAAAGATGACTTCACGGGATAGTTTGGGTTCAGAGCTTTAAGGGGTTTCCCCCAGTCCCAATGTAGACCTCATTATTCAATGGCTGAGCTGCCTGAGCACTGCAACCTCATGACCTCCTCACTGCTAAGGCCACTCCTCACTGCACTGCTAGTGGCGGTAGTTTCCGTCCTTTCCCTAATTGCCTTTATTTCCTTAATTTTAAGGCACAAGAAAAAAAATACCCACACTAAGAGACTAGGATGGCTTATTCCAGGAGCCCTAGTGGCACAGTGGTTAAGTGCTTGGCTGCTAACTGAAAGGTCGACAGCTCAAACCCACCAACTGCTCCGCAGGAGAAAGATGTGGCAGTCTGTTCCCGTAAAGATTATAGCCTTGGAAACCCTATGGGGCAGTTCTACTCTGTCCTGGAATTGACTCAACGGCAATGGGTTTACGGCTCATCGTTTTCCACGTTAGCCTTGAACTTAAAAGACAGAGTGGTGCAACAGAACGAATATGGGTTATGAACTTGGGAAACAAAAAGACTGTAAGGACTTGTGCAAGGGGCACAGCCCCCTCTGCTAATGTGTTGATGTATACACTGAGAACAGGGTACTTTATACGCTGAGAATAGTGCACTTGGCCTGCTAACTTATCTTAGCAGAGAACAGCTTACAATAAAAGAACATTTTGGAGTTTTTTTTTGGTTTGTTTTGGTTTTTGGTGGGATGCAGGGAGCTGTGGTAACCAGGGTTTAGATGAAGCAGGCACGTGTGAGCACCAAGTGACACCTGGCTTCTGAGTTGGGGAAGGGTGACGACTGGGGCAGATGGATGGTCTCTTGCCCCATTTAAAGGAGGCAGGAGCTATTCAGCAGAGTCGGTATTGCTAACCCTTTTCAAGAAAAGCCAGAAATCTAAATGTAATGCTCAATCGCCAGAAATTTAAATGTTGGCAATGAATACAGATATTTTTAAAATACTGTATAAGGACACACAGTAAGCAAAACACATGTGTGAATGGCCCGTTTGTCCTTGTCTGTAGAAACGTTCAAAGCATCTGCCCAGCAGCAGAGAAGGGAGAGGAGGAAAAGGAAGGCAGGGACCAGGGTAAATAGAGCCTCTTGTATACAGCAGGCCCCACCAGGAGGCCTGGCATGAAGGACGAGCAGAAAGGTAACAGAGGACTTTGGGTGTTACTGATGCTGCCCAGGTTGAGAGCTGAGCTAAACTCATCTCCCCAGGAGTATGTTCCAGGGAGAAGGGAGGCAGCAGAGGCTTTGGGCGCTCCATTGATCACATGCTGCCCTGACGCCCAATGGGAGGCTATTGCTGGGGAGAGAGTGAATCCCACAGTGATGCTCTGGAGAGAGAAGGAGGGGCAGGGAATGCTTCTCCTTGTTACCAATAGCAACTCTTATTCTCTCCCCTCACAGGCCTGGCAATTCGAAGGCTGTCATCTCTTTTCAGGCTGTCTCCTTCCCTCTCTCTGTGCAGTATGCCTTTCTCTTCTTTCACCGGGGCTGCTATGGCATCATTGTTGTTGTTGCTGTCAGCCGCCATCAAGTTGGCACCCTGGTCACAGCGACCCCACGCACAACAGAGTGGAATGCTGCCTGGTCCTGAGCCATCCCCACGATCGGTGGAGGACTGGACTGTTGGGATCCATAGGGTTTTCACTGTCTGAGTTTTGGAAGTAGATTTCCAGGCTTTTCTTCCTAGTCTGTCTTAGTCTGGAAGTTCTGCTGAAACCTGTCCAGCATCATTGCAACACGCAAGCCTGCACTGACAAAAGGCTGGCAGCTGCACGAGGTGCGCTGCAAGAGAATGGAACCCGGGTCTCCCGCGTGGAAAGCGAGAATTCTACCACCGAACCACCACTGCCTCTATGTCTTTACCAGATGACTAGTACTCATAAAGACTTTCTGTAAGGTGAGGGGTCAACCTGTGGGTGGGTGGGAGTACAAGGGGTGCCAGTTAAGGGACTGACCAGGAAATTGTATAAAAAGGGGCAAAAGGGTCATGTCCTTTCATGGCCTAACTGCCCAAAATCTGTGCCTAAAAAAAGGAGAGGTCACAAGTGGTTCAGGAACTGCCCGCAGTGCAAGGGGGCCCAGAAGTTCAAGATTACATCAGGAAGATACATCATTTCCATATGGAGAAAGGCGGGAGCAATGAATTTTTGTTATGGAATCGTAAGATACAAAGATCCTCATACAGTAAACCAAAAAAAGCAAAAGTCTAATGTTGGGCCCAACCTGTAGCACTCTGTTTCCCAAACTTGGCCAGTCATACACCTCAAACACAATTTTTGCCACACCCTCATACCACCCATATTAATGTTTATTTAGTATTTTTCTTTAAATTAAGTCACTGCTTTATATGAGTAAGCTTATTAAAAGGAAAGGCTGTATCACAGCCAAAAGTAAAAATCTTGTTATCACCTGTCATAAAAAGAAAGCAAGAGTAAAAACAAAATTATAAATGTTCCTCAACAGAGCAGCTGATGTTATTTTCATACTACCAGGTGTGTGTGCACACATGCATGTATACATGTGTGTACATCTCATTTAAGGAAGAGAAGTCAGCCAATCTAGCACGCTGACTCCCTGAACTATGACCCTCTTGGATAAGAGGTTCTGTGCTGCCAGGAAAGGTATTAGTGGGGCTTATATCTTAAACAGCTTCCATGTTATTACTCGGGCTCCACAACCCATTTTCACCACAGCTTCTTACCTCGTAGGTGTGAGGATAAAGACTTGCTGTGCAGATAGTAGGTATTCAATGTGTACTTTAAAGTGAATGATAAGACATAGAAAATTATCCAACAAGTCTTTAGGTCTATATTAGTCTAATTCTGTGAGTACGACCTAAAGACTTGAGCTCATAAAAAGGAAAATCATAGGAAATCCCACCCTTAGAGCCGCAAAACACTGAAGACTGAACTCACCACTTCTTAGACTTCAGGCGAGGTGCTGGGTTCCGGGGGATGAGGAAGAGGGCTCTCATGGGGTGCATGTCACAGAGAGCTGGAAGAGACCAAAACAGGGGCTAGCTTGGGTTAGGAGACCAAGGCCGTCCTGCTGTGCAGACAGAACTGCCAAGATGCCTCCCCGAGTCCAACCATGAGCCGGGAGCAGCAGTTGGAACATCGGAACGCTTCCATTTGGTACACATTTAAAAGTGCTGATGTCTAATTACAGGAGTCACATAAAATGGAACGATTCAAATCGATAACTAGTTAAAATTTCTAGTGAATATATCTTCACTTAATACTTAAGGAAACTAATTTAAAAGACTGACCAATAGTTATCCTTGCTGAGATTCAAAGTAAATAACACCAGGATGGCAATTATAATGGAGATGGCGAGCTATTTTCAATGAGTCAAAACCTAAGTCACAATATAAGACATATTTGATAATTCATGCTCTAGTTCTTATAAACTGAAGGCTCACCCAAACACAATGTTGCTATGTAGATTTTTAGAGTCTAAAGCACTAGAACAGAATGCCATTCTCTCTGCATTTCCAGATATCAGGAATTTTGCAGATTCCATGATTGGAGGATTTTTGGCTTGCTGGCACCAGGAAGAGTATAAGATTAAGTCAAATACAGCAGAGCGGAAAAGCAAACTTGTAAAAAGATCTCAACTTGTAAACATTGCATTATTGCCTACAGAGAAAGCACTCGTACCTTATTTTAGTCAAAATAATTCATTAGTTTACTTTTCAAACATCTGAGAGTATTTTTTCTTTGTACCTAGAATAAGAATATATCCTCCCTAAAAGCCAAAGGATTTGGTGGGTAGAATTTTATTTTTAGCCCAGTCTATCACTCATCAAGAATGATAATACGGCTTTAAAACTGTAGCATGTTATTTTTCTGATTCACAAATGCCTATTAGCATTGTGGACGAGAGGAATTTTGCCAACAAATACTCAAATCAATCATGCTACAGATGAATCCTACCAATTCTAGACTGAGAAATAACACGACTATAATATCTTGAAGGTAAGAAGTCATATGTACATAGTAAACTGTCATGCAAACCAGGGGTCTGTTTTAGTCTGGATCCTCTGGGAAACAAGCTCCAAGGTGGGACTAGACACGTAAAGATTTTATTGGGGGAAATTCCCACATGAAAGGAAAGGCCCAGGGAAGGCTGGGAGAGCTGTCACGCTGTAATGTAAGTCTGACTCTGAGTGAAGGAGAGAGGGAGAGAGGGTTGGTGGAAGCGCTCTAGATAGTCCTGAAGTTTAATGAAAGTTTGGCAGAGTTGTAGGATTCCTTGGGTCAAAGTGGCCTGTGAAGGAGTCATGTGTCTTCCCGGAAAGGGTCTGCCTTAGTATCCCTGCCACTGTCACTGCCTGGAGTGGCCCTTAGGAGGTACATCTGGGGGTCCTCCCAGCAGCTGGCCCATGGTCATTATGATTCCTATACCAGAAATCTGTGAGGTATGTTCTCAGAGCTACCACAGCGCAGGTAGAGACATACTGTAGGGCTAGTACTCCAGATCTCAAGGAACTGGAAAGCTTCTCAATCTTGCCAGAGCCCTGGCCATTCTGCCTTAAATATCAGCAGGGAAATCTAAAAATTCAAACAGCAGTAATTTAATACGAGTGATGGCAATTATGTACAAGGGTTTGCACAACCCAGGCTCTGAACATTGGCTCTGGATTTTCCTAAACTGGAGTGATCTTTGTGGGCTGGCACTGGTTTTGTTAGGCAAAGAGGCGCTCAAGAATAAACTACACATTGAATCTGTAAAAATAAACAAGACTTTCCAAAGTTTGCTTTCCTGTCTTTCTTTTTTCCTCATAAAAAGAAGATCCTCACACCACTCCCAGATGAATGAATTCCTGGTTGATTTAAGGTGACTCTGCTTTCTAAGCATGCTAGCCAGAATCCGTGCAGGGCTCAGTATAGCAGAAATAAAGCTACTGCAGCTCCTGGCCAGGAACCTCCAGTACCTACCGGGCAGACCAGCAACAGATTTCACCCCGGAGGAAGCGAGCCATACTTACGGGGAGCACCTTCTGCCATCTCAATGGCGGTGATTCCCAGAGACCACAAGTCACTCTGAAAAAGAAGGAAGGCACAGACACATGCATAAATCCAATCAACAAAGAACAACTTGGCTAAACCTGGTAATGGCTTTTGAACTGCCTGTGGGAAAGCCCTTCAGCTGTTTGTAGACAAGCCTATTTCCCCCACTTAGCTTAAAAGCAGGAGCTGCCTTATTCACTTTTCATTGACAACACCCTTCACAGCGCCTGACACATGGCAAGTTTTCAATACATGTATGAAGAAAGAATATAAGGTATTTTTAGCTAGTCACTAAAATATATCTATCAATTGGACCACATGAAATTACTGCAATTCTAGTGTTTGTTTTTCTTCTTACACCTTTATTTAGGTATAATTGTCATATAATAAACTGCACACATTTTAGAGTAAGTCATTTGATAACGTCTGACATATTTAAACACCCATGAAAACATCACCACAATCAAGACAGTAGACATAACCATCACCCTAAAAGATCCCATTTGGCCATTTGTAGTCCCTGCCTCCTGTCCCTTCCTGTTCCCACACTCACCCTCGTTCCCAGGCAACCATCGATCTACTTTCTGTCACTATGCATTAGTTTGCATTTTCTAAATTTATGTAAATGGAATCATATAATATGGGGTCTTTTGTGTCTGGCTTCTTTCACTTAGCATAATGTTTTTGAGTCAACCCATGTTGTAGCATTTATCAGTACATCATTTCTTTTTTACTGCTGAGTAGTATTTCATTATATGGATATACCACAGATGAATTATCAGTTCACTTGTTGATGGACATTTGGGTTGTTATCAGTTTGGGTTATCATGAATAAAGCTGCTGAAACATTCTGGTGCAAGTCTTTATGCAGGCATACTTTTATTTCTTTTGAGTAAATACCTAGCAGTAGAATGGGTCCTAGTGGAATGGATCATATAGTAGGCATATGTTTATATTCAACTGTTTTGTTTTTTTTTTAAATTGTACTTTAGGTGAAGGTTTACAGAACAAATATTTTCTCATTAAACAGTCAGTACACATATTGTTTCATGACATTGGTTAACAACCTCACGACGTGTCTACATGCTCCCTTCTCAGCCTTGGAGGACCTCTTCTTTTTTTTCTAGTGAAAATATACATAGCCAAAGATACACCATTTCAAAAATTTCTACATGCACAGTTCAGTGGCATTGATCACATTCTTCCAGTTGTGCTGCTATTCTCACTTAAGATGAAGGTTTACAGAACAAAATAGTTTCTCATTAAACAGTTAGTACACATATTGCCCTATGACAACAGTTAAGAACCCCACTACATGTCAACACTGTCCTTACTCAACCTTGGGTTCTGTCACCAGCTTTCCTGTCCCCTTCTGCCTTCTAGTCCTTGGCCCTGGACTGCTGTCCCTCATTAGTTCCCTTTTGTTTTATGGGGCTGTCCAATCCCTGGCTGAACGGTGAACCTTGGGAGTGACTTCACCACTGAGCTAAAAGGGTGTCCGGGGGCCATACTCTCGGGGGTTTCTCCAGTCTCTGTCAGGCCAGTAAATCTGGTCTTTTTTTTCTGTGTTAGAATTTTGTTCTACATCTTTCTCCAGCTCTGTCCAGAACCCAGTCAGAGCAGTCAGTGGTGGTAGCCGGGCACCACCTAGCTGTACTGGGCTCAGTCTGATAGAGGCCTTGGTAGCTGTGGTCCATTAGTCCTTTGGACTAATCTTTTCCTTGTATATATTCAACTGTTTTTAATGTACAGAAACAGCAATTTCATATGGTTTAACCTAATAAAATGAGGACAAGGAGTTTTGGTTTTTTTTAAATGGTGCTCACTAGTGTATCTCCCATGCCTGGAACAGAGCTGAACACAGTGGTAGGTGCTCAATGTATTCGCTGAATGAATGTAAAAATATCTTCTATCATCTAAGCACACTAATATGTGAAACAGAGACCTGTATACCCCGATATTCTTTCTTATGTTCAGACTTTTACACTCTGTTCAGAATTTTCTAGGCTAATGCTTCTAGCTCTACCCATTCAATCTCTATCTCTAACAATATGCTTCTCCCACACTCTGTGTCTACAGCTTGCTGTTGTTGTTGCTAGGTGCTGTGGAGTTGATTCCGACTCATAGTGATCCTACATATTGGTGGTCTCTACTGCATAAAATACAGTTGCTGTGGAGTCATCTCAACTCCTAGCAACCCCATTTGTGTCACAGTAGAACTGTGCTCCATAGGGTTTTCAATGGTTGATTTTTTAGAAGTAGATCACCAGACCTTTGTTCTGAGGTGCCTCTAGGTAGACTTGAACCTGCAAGCACTCGGTTAGCAGCCAAGTGCACTGTTTGCACCATGCAGGGACTCCAAAATAGTGCTTTGGAGGGGGAAAATCAAGAGATGGGAAAACCAGGTTAGGAAACCCTGAGAAGATGCTTGCTGCTTCCCAGAAGATTGGTAAGAAAACAATGTGAAATTTGGTTCAATGGCCTACAGTCCTCATAAACTCTCAACATGCTTCCATTTTAAACACCTCGTGCATTCGGAACATTATTCCAAAGCCTCACTTGTAATCTCTCAGATTAGAGAGACCAAAGTTAAATTTTCTTGGTATTCTCTTCGAACATGTCAAGGCCACAACAAAAGGAGATATAACTGAAAGGGAACTATGGAATCCATGCTGAGCCATTCCCAAGAACTAAATTTCTCAATGTCCTGTGTATGACATCGAGGCAGAGTCCCGCACAACTTCAAGGGGGTCTTCGGGGGAGCTGCGGTGGGGTGGGGTGGGTGCAGCCTCTTTTCTAAAGTGCAATCTACCTTAAAGAAGGTAGCTGGGGCACCCACTTAACTCCGCACTAGGGCCAAGAGAGATTCTTTAATTCGTGGGCCCTCAACATGTTCACATAAATATTATAGGATCTCAGTTTAAATGGGAATAATAGCGCACCTTTATACCACTATCCTCAGAGTCCAAATGACTTCTCTCATATAACACAACTTAAGAAGGCAGCTCTTGTCGTTTCTCTTTGTTATATTTCAAGATACATTCAAAGGTTCTTATATAAAAAACAAAACAAAACATACTCAAGATCTCCATAGTCCAGCAAGTGACTGAGGCCACTTCGGGAGCTAATGGGAACGGCCAGCCCACTTCTTACAGGTTGGCTAAGGAGGAATCACTGGTGAAGCTGAAAACGCAGCTCCCTTGTGCCTGGGGTTTTATGGCTGACCGACAGAGACATTCATTTGGGAACATGATAAAAACACTGACTCACTCACTGTGCAGGAGGCAAGAACAGGAAATACAGCTAGAAGAGGCTGGAAATGGCAGGTTGGCTCAAAGGTCCCTGTGCTATTTTGATGACGCTCCTGCGTCTCCAGGCCTTGGATGTACTGCCCCAGTATCCCTAGGAATTGAGTGTTTCTATACTGTGAAAATAGGTGCAAGTATGAAGGTGGTGCTCAGGCTCTACACCCCTAACTGCCTCAGCAGGATCAATTTTTTTTAAATAATATTTTATTGTGTTTTTCAATAAAGGATTACACAACAGTTTAGGTTCCCACTCAACAATTTCTATACAAGTTGTTCAGTGACATTGGTTATATTCTTTTGGCACCAGGGTAAGAAAAGATCCAGGGCAGGCCTCTCAGATGGGAGATGTAAATGTTCAAAAAACCCAGGCATGCTTCTGCCGCTGGGTCTTTGCTCTGGCTCTTCCCTCTCCCTGCAGCTCTGACCCCAGACACGTGCTGGCTAACTCCCTCAGCTCTGTAATGTCTTTGCTCAGATTCTATGTTCTCAATGGAGATGACTGCAGCCTCTCCCCAGCACTCCCAATCTTCCTTCTGCTTTCTTACTTTTGTTCCCCCAGAGAACTTATCAGCTTCTAACATACTATATAATTTACTCATCACTAATTTACTCTGTTTTGTGTGTGTGTGTTTTTTTGTCCTCCTCCTGCTCCTACTCCCAACCCGCAAGATAGAATATAAGGTCCACAGGGCAGAGATCTTTGTTTTGTTAACTGGTGTATTCTGAGTATCTAGAACAGTGCCTGGCCCTTAATAAATATTCTTTGAATAAATAAGCAAATGAAAGGTATGTGAGAGAAAGGAGCAAAACCTAATGTCCAAGGGTTGGTAGAGTCCTTGCAATTATCAAGGACCCTTCATTTAACAGACAAGGGAAGTAACTTGCCCAAGATCACTGAGCAACTCAGCACCAGGTCTTAATAGCAGCTGGGTCTCCTGCCTCCCAGGCCAAACAAACAAACAAACAAAAAAACCCAAACCCTTTGCTGTTAAGTCATTCCAACTCATAGAGACCCTACAGGACACAGTAGAACTGGCCCATAGGGTTTCCACGGAGCAGCTGGTGGATTCGAGTTGCCAATCTTTTGATTAGCAGCCTGAGCTCTTAACCACTGTGCCACCAGGGCTCTGCCCTCCTAGGCCAGTTTTCTTTTTTAATTGTCATCACAATATAAGGACTTGAGTATTCACCCTTTTTTTTTTCTTGTTGTTGTAGTTGGGTGCCATCGAGTCCATTCTGACTCATAGCGACCCCATGTGTCAGAGTAGAACTGCTTCATAGGGTTTTCTTAGCCATAATCCTTACGGAAGCAGATCGCCACGTCTTTCCCCATGGAGCCGCTAGGTGGGTTCAAACTGCCCAGTTTTGGTTAGCAGCTGAGCGCTTAACCATTGCACCACCAGGGCACAAAAAATAATTACAAAAGGTTCTTACTTAGCCTACAGATAATTGAAGGTGTTGGCAATTGAATGAAGGTACTCATATTCAGTGAGGCACCCAAAATCCCGTGCTAGGAAACTGGCCTCATCTTCCTTGAGGCAGCATGTACTGATAGAAAGAAAACAGGCTTAAGTCAGGCAGACCTGGATTCAAATTCAGGTTCTTAATTTAGCTACATGCAAGACATTGCTCTAAGCCTTAGCTTTCTCAGTTGCAAAATGGAGGTAACTGGGATAGGTGTGCATGCAGGTATGCTGCCGAGCACAAACCTGGCACACAGTGGGG